AATGGATTAAAGATCTAAATGTAAGACCAGAAACTATAAAATTCCTAGAGGAGAACATAGGCAAAACACTCTCTGACATAAATCACAGCAGGATCCTCTATGACCCACATCCCAGAATTTTAGAAACAAAAGCAAAAATAAACAAATGGGACCTAATGAAACTTAAAAGCTTTTGCACAACAAAGGAAACTATAAGCAAGGTGAAAAGACAGCCCTCAGATTGGGAGAAAATAATAGCAAACGAAGCAACAGACAAAGGATTAATCTCAAAAATATACAAGCAACTCCTGCAGCTCAACTCCAGAAAAATAAATGACCCAATCAAAAAATGGGCCAAAGAACTAAACAAACATTTCTCCAAGGAAGACATACAGATGGCTAACAAACACGTGAAAAGATGCTCAACATCACTCATTATCAGAGAAATGCAAATCAAAACCACAATGAGGTACCATTACACACCAGTCAGGATGGCTGCTATCCAAAAGTCTACAAGCAATAAATGCTGGAGAGGGTGTGGAGAAAAGGGAACCCTCTTACACTGTTGGTGGGAATGCAAACTAGTACAGCCGCTATGGAAAACAGTGTGGAGATTTCTTAGAAAACTGGAAATAGAACTGCCATATGACCCAGCAATCCCACTTCTGGGCATACACACTGAGGAAACCAGATCTGAAAGAGACATGTGCACCCCAATGTTCATCACAGCACTGTTTATAATAGCCAGGACATGGAAGCAACCTAGATGCCCATCAGCAGGCGAACGGATAAGGAAGCTGTGGTACATATACACCATGGAATATTACTCAGCCATTAAAAAGAATTCATTTGAATCAGTTCTAATGAGATGGATGAAACTGGAGCCCATTATACAGAGCGAAGTAAGCCAGAAAGATAAAGACCATTACAGTATACTAACACATATATATGGAATTTAGAAAGATGGTAACGATAACCCTATATGCAAAACAGAAAAAGAGATACAGATGTATAGAACAGACTTTTGGACTCTGTGGGAGAAGGCGAGGGTGGGATGTTTCAAGAGAACAGCATCGAAACATGTATATAATCTATGGTGAAACAGATCACCAGCCCAGGTTGGATGCATGAAACAAGTGCTCAGACCTGGTGCACTGGGAAGACCCAGAGGGATCGGATGGAGAGGGAGGTGGGAGGGGGGGATCGGGATGGGGAATACATGTAAAACCATGGCTGATTCTTGTCAATGTATGACAAAAACCACTACAATATTGTAAAGTAATTAGCCTCCAACTAATAATAAATAAATAAATAAATAAATTCCCCATTTTCTATTGTACTTCTCAGTCTTGAGAGGAACAAGAGCAACAACCATTCTGACTACCTCCTGCTCAAGGAGGGTAAAGTCAGTTTTTCAAGATTAAAGGAGAGAAACCATTGACTTTCATGTTAAAGAATTCTCAAGTCCCAGGCTTAGTACAAATATTTTATGTTATGAAAATATTAGCTGTATCTTTGATTACTTTTCATGGGATCTGGAAAAACATTTCAGAATTAGTTGACATATTACAATGAAGATAATGATAAAAATGCATCCTTGCAGTACTCCCTGAAAGAGTCCTTTTATTCTAGGTGACAGAAATATAAGTATGGAGTGGGTTGTCTTTACATTCTGTAACCAAGTACCCTTTTGAATTATTCTATTTATTTGGCTTTGATTTCTCCAGGGATATTAGTATATGTAACAGAAGCTATTGGTCTATATATATATATATATATATATATATATATATCCATAATTCAAGAAATTTTATTATCTAGTATTCTGAAGAATCTAGTGCTTCTGCTAGGAGGCTATGGCTTGAGCAGTCTCAATTGTCACTATTATTCCTAAGGTAGGGAATGGTTACAAGAGGAGACCTGAGACCATTAGACTGAAGTTGGCAGCTGTCAGATGTTGTTTTGATAATGGCTGGTGGTATCCTTGAGCTTGCCACAATTTAGAAAATTCAAGTTCTCAGTAATACAGGACCATATCTGAAACCATGTCCACAATGGACACTAAACTCTGCTTTGGATACCTGAATCACAGTTACTCCATTTTGGTTTTTTAAAATGCATCCTTCTCTTTGATGGTTAAATCAGATGTACAAAACCTGTTTAATAGGCTTTAAACACACTGTTTTGGATAACAAAAAACTTAAGTTAAATCCTAGATAAGTCAGAATGACTTCTCCATACCTCTATACATGAAAATTCCCTCCATCATTTCCCCCTTTTCTTTGCAAAATCTTTGAGAGTAATACTGATGATCAAACTATTTCTCCCTTGATGGCTCTTTGTATCACTTGGTGGTAGGCCTCCTCAGTTTACATACACCACATCCTAGTTATCCACTTGAGGGAAAAACTATGCAGACATGTGAAGAAGTCCATTTCCTTGTCACATGGCTGGTATTACCAGAAACAGACACACAGACAGAAAGAGGCAACCCAGAGCTCAGTGATCTCTCGGGGTCAGATTCCCCTAGCGTGAGACTGGAAGATGACCTACATGCTGTTCCAGATGGGGGTACGATGGGTCTTGGTCTATCAGGAAGTCTCCCAATTACTATTAAGTTGGCCGAGGGATTCCTTGACTCAGAAGGGAATATACAGTTGAAAATCTGCTTCCCACAAAAGCAGACCAAGTCCTATGCTTTCCCAAATCCCCAAACGAAAAGTGCCAATTAAGAAAACCCAATAGGAAAGAATAACCATCTTTGGATAACTCATCAAAGTTATCCAAAAAGAAAAACTCATAAACTGTGAGTTTACACCACTTACCAGACTTGTCTTAGAGATGAGGACCAGAGCTTTGTTTCCTTCACCACAGAATAGAATGAACTGTGGCTAGCAATGCCTGTCAGAGGCAAGCCCTTGGGCTTTTCCCTGAGACAAAGGTGAGCAGGCAGCTGCTGGACAGGTCAGAGAGCTGCCACTACCCAGGAGCCGAGGTATCATGGGCAAGATGCCACTTGGGATGGGAGTCCCATCGGGATTGCCAAAATTGTTTGGGAACTGAACTTCAGTCACAGTGATTTTTTTCATGAATCTTAAATACCAACAATCTGCTTTTGACCAGACTATGATCTACAACCTGGTAGTCAGAAATTTTCAATTGGTGGGAGTCTGGTTTATGTAAAAACAACTCAAGGATATGGCTCAGGATATCACCTATAGCCACTGAGAAGGAACTAAATGTCTATGACTTTGCTTTATGGCTAAAATATTATTATTTTTCCTTGCCCGACTTTATTTCTGCATTTTCCCACTTCTCTCATTAAATCTGCTCTTTGCAACTTGGGGAAGTCCCAGAAGTAACCAGTTTTTGATAAACAAGATGTCAGAGGCATGGGGTAATGGGGATTTGTCTCTGGGAAGCCTTGGCAGGTTCCTAGCTTAGTATCAGAGCTGGAACAGTCAGCTGCCATGTTCAAGTGACATAGCATCTTAACCAACTTAAGCATTCCCATAACCAGTGTGACTTGAGCTTTTTAGAGCAAAATAAAAGCAGATGCAATGATCACTTGACAAGTTTGTGTTCTGATGGGACTGGACACCCCCAACCATGGACAAGAGGTATGTCCATGCTCTTTCCACTAAAAAATTGAAAAGCGAGATTAAGTTATGTCTGTGGAAACAGTTGTCTCTTTAGTCAAATGCTTCTGAGTTCAGGCTTTAATGGTGCACAAACCACATCATTGCTTTTCTTCATAGAGGAGCTGGTCTCACATGCTGTCTACTCTCTTTGAGTCTTCTGGGTACAAAAGCCACAGGTGCAAGAGGCTTCCCTTCCTATGACACCTGTCATGAACTTTCCTTCCTATCCCTGCTGTCTGAGCTCCACAAGGCAAGGATTCTGTGGGTGTATCCCTGCTATTTCCAAGTTCTGGCACAAGCAGCTGCTAAATAAACATTGAACACATTGCACAGTTAGTTACTATAACCTAAAATATGTCCCTGACTTTTTGTACTGTGATGGGCTAAATGGCGTCCTACCCCCAGTTAGTATGTTGAAGCTTCAACCCCAGGTGCCTCAGAATGTGACCTTATTTGGAAATAGAGTCTTTGCAGTTGTCATTACTTAATTGATGTCATGAGATCGAGCCCCTAATTCAGTATGATTGGTGTCCTTATGAAGAGCGAAAATCTAGACACAGACAGGCAGACACTGAGAGAAGGCCATGTGAAGATGAAGGTACAGACCAAGTGATGAATCTATAATCCAAAGAGCAGCAAAGATTGGCAACACACCTCCAGAAGCTTGGAGATTCTCCACAAACTCAGAAGGAAGCAGTCTTGCTGCTTGATTTTGGATTTTTCTTTGGCTTAAACCACTCAGATTGTGGCAATTTATTATAGTATCCACAGAAAACTACTACATGAACTATTTGTTGATTGGCTGATATCTGTCCAGGTCAGGTATAACCTCCAGACCATTCAGGTTATTGAGATATTTAATCATCTCTAATCTTATAGTGTGTAGGAAGCCTGGCAATAAAAAAAAAAGGCAGGGAACTATTGATATGAAACTCAGTAAGTGGTAATATTTCACTGTGGGATGAATGAGATCCTGAAGAAATCTGATGTGGGGTCCCAGGAATTTCTAACATACTAGACTATTTACCAATTCTTGGCATTCATACAAACATAGTTGGACAGTATGTGTTGTTCTGTATCTGCATACTTCACTACATATAATGATTGCAAGATTCTTTGCTCCTTTTTATAATTGAGGAATATTCTACTGTGTACATGGGGCAGATTTGGTGTATCCAAGTATTACGGATGGACACTTGAGCGGTGTCCAGCTTTTGGCGACTGTGAACAATGCTTCCTTTAATTTGCATGGGATAGTTTCTGGTCAACATGTGTTTTTAATCCTTTCACCACAGACCTGAGAGTGGATGTTACAGTTTTCTTGTCATTAATACTTTTTATATTAAATGTCCCCTGTTTTATGTGGTGTGTGGTTTTCTTTCATCTCTTGGTGGCCTGGGCTGGGAGGACTTCTTCCTCGGGAGGTGTGTCCCTGGTGCAGGTGAGGAGTCTGGGGTCATACACCGAGCTCGGTACTGAAGCTCCCTCACGTGGACCACGGGTTAAGACATGGTACAGTTGTGTCAGCAGCCCGAGTCTATCCTGTGAGGGCACCAGCACACAGTAGGGTCATGTTTAGCATTGGTGATCCTGATGGGAACCGACAGGGCCTGCAGGCAGATGAATTTTGGTACCACTGTGGGCATTCCTGCTGTTTTTAGAGGGACTTCCTGTCTTGCTTCTTGGAATGGAGGATGAAGTGTGAGCATGTATGTATCATTCATGAGAGGAGGGGAGGGGAGAGAGAAGGCTGGCTCTAGTGTGCAGGGGAAGAAACAGATCCTTAATGCAATTTTTTATTTCAGAAACAACAAACACCCCACATCCATCCATTTCCTGCCTTCGCCTACCAGATCAGCAACTGTTCCTGCTCAGCCTTCCACTTGGCTATTCTTCCTGGGGCCACAGAATCCGCCAAGGGCTCATCTCTCTTTAAGTAAATGAAGAACGTCCGGATTTGCTTTGGATGGGTGGTGATGGTGAAACTCCCTGGGCGCAGTGAAGGATGCCTGGAGCTGTCTGAGAGGACAGAGATGATCTGTCCAGCGTTGCCCCTCGGAGCCACCTGCTTTCCCAGGTTGCCTCTTTCCAGCATCTGCCCACAACACTGTTCCTGATACACCCTTGCTTTCATGCTTCACCCTTGGGATGAAACCTATCTATCCATTCATTCACCCATCCTTCGATCAAAGGATTCATCCATCTCTTTGTCTAATCATACATACATTCATTCTAGTTCACCTATCCAACCTCTGTCCATTCATCCATCATCCATCCACCAAACCATCCATCTATCCACCACCATCTATCCATCCTCCTTACATCCATCCATTCATCCATCACATATCCATCCATACATCCGTGCTGCTCTCCATCTTCCTTACTTCTACCCATCCATCCAACTTCAACCCACTCAACAATCCATCTTCCATCCTTTCTCCTTCCCTCCACTTCCTTCTATCCATCCATAAATTGCTCATCCATCTTCCTCACTTCGTGTCATCTGTCAATCCATCCATCATCCATCCATCACCCAATAATCCACCCAGCCAGCATCCATCTACCTACCTTCCTTTCTTACAACATTTTTTCCTATCAACCACCTTTCCATTCATCCATTTATCAAATATTGACTACGTATTTACCTATGTACCCAGACTATGTTATGTGCAGTAGACAAAGAAGAGACAAAGAGTCAGATCAAAATGAGGGGAAAGACAGAGCAAAGGAGGCACCTGACCCAAACCTGAACCTGGGGGAGCTTGATTAGGAGTTGTCCAAATGTCCAAGGGCATTCCAAGAAGAAACAGCACAAGTAAAGACTGAGAGGCATGAATCAGGCTAAAGCTGTTTCCAAAAGCTAACTGGGGGGTGTGCAATATAATGCACTGCACAGGAGACATCAGAACTTACTGAGGGTACACTTGAATTCTGGGCAGGATTGTAATCTTGGACATATCTGTAGGTGTGTGTGCATGCGTGCGTGTGTGTGCACATACACACACACACACACACACACACACATGCTGTGTGGAGTCCTGGCAAGTGGAGATTGAACTGAACCCTTCCTTAACCTACTGTGGTAGATTCAAGAAGGCTTAGACTCGGAGAAGAGCAGCTTGTTCAAGGTCACACAGGCTTTAGGGGGCAGAGTTGGGATCTGAGCCAGGTCTGTCCAGCTCCTGAGCCCAGGTGAGGGGCAGGCAGAGAATCCCAGGGCGGGGAGCGGCCTGAACCAGGGGTGCACAAACCTCTGAGGTGGCTAGATTCCTGAGTTGGCCATCTCCAGTGGTGCAGTGTGCTCACCTCCCAGGTCCCTGTGAGCAAGCGCTCCTCCACGGATACCACGGAACCCAGACCCCGCAGCGTGGACTGCAGGACAGGAGCACAGGGAAGGATGAGCACCTGGCCCCCCAGATCTGAGCAGAGGACAAAACAGCAGCAGGCACGGAAACACCCAGGCCCAGGGCACAACATCTTCCTGCTTGTCATTCTCAGAGTAAATCTCCACATAAAGAACAGCAGCCCCATTAAATAGATGAAGAAACTGAGGCCAGGGAGGCGCATTCTCCCCAGGGGGTTGAGCTGGATGAACATGCCCAGGAGGTGGCAGGCACTTAGAACTGCTCTCATCACTGAGAGATGAGAGAACCCCTCCTCCCGGAGATGCTCAGATGGTGTCCTGTATGCCCCTGGGATGCAGTCAATCTTGGGTATCCATCCAGTTTTCCCCAAAATGCATTGACTGTGCAAAGAGGGAAGGCAGGGTGGTCATTCTCACCCTGCCCTGGAAAGGACAGTCTGCTGACCTCACGGCTGGGGGTTGTTCTGCAGGAGCTTCCCTGTGCTTCCCTCCTCCCTCTTTGGCAGGAGAAAGCATGGAGGGTGAGGCTCTGCTGCTGCTACCACCCCACCTCTGCCCTCCCTCCCCCGCCTATACATCTGCTTCTGAGGCTGGTACCAGCTCGTGAGCAAGAAGTGACAAGTAGGAAGAAGCAAAGCCAGCACGCTGATGAAGGTCGGGTGGGAAGATGAAGTTGGCCTTGTCTCTGATGAAAGTGGGGCAAGGAAAGAGACTATCCCCCACCCCTGTCTCCATGGTAAGAGCTGTGAAAGGGGGACATTGGGAAGGCACCATAGCGTTGGCTCCAGGTTGGGTTGTTGGGATTCTCCCAGATTGCATTGAGGACACAGGTATCAATGAAACCAAGGCAACAACAGAGAGAGTTACAGAAATTCCCTGTCAGTAGGGGATGAGTAGAGAGCTCAGAGCTCCATAAAGAGTGCAGACTGGAAAGAAATGAGGTGTCTTCACGTATCTTCTGGGGAAAGGATGTGGCTGGGCTGTGCAGTAAGAGCCTTACCTGGTGGTGGGAGTCAGAGGGTGATACTGGGGTCAGAGGGTGATGTTGGGGTCCAGAGGGGAAGGAGGACAGAGGTTGGAGTCTGGGCACAGAGATATCCATCTGCCCCGAGTGCCAGGCACCTATGTGTACACCATCACCCAAAACCTCTCAGCATCCCTGTGGACAAAGACTCTGACCTCCCTATTTACAGATGAGGAGACTGAGGCTCAGAGCCCAGAGGTCTAGACACTGAGCAGAGATGCCTGGACTTTCACCTTGGACTGTGTGACTCTGATCACCTACCAGGAAGTCTGTTCAAAATTTCCTTCTTTCTTTATCTATTTTTTTTGATCACTCAAATGCTATTCGTGTTATATAAAAAGATTTAGTGTCCCCTTGTAATGGTAAAGAATCTGCCTGCAATTCAGCAGTCCTGGGTTCGATCGCTGGGTTGGGAAGATCCCCTGGAGGAGGGCATGGCAACCCACTCCTGTATTCTCGCCTGGAGAATCCCATGGACAGAGGAGCCTGGCGGGCTACAGTCCGTGGGGTCGCAAAGAGTCAGACACGACTGAGCAACAAACACTTTCCCTTTTCACAAAGATTTACCATGAGAATAAAGGAGAAAACAAACAAAACACATGCATGTTGGAATCACTGAAAAATCAAGAAGACCAGGAAGAGAGAGGAAGTGGCGGAGGGGTGCCCTGATGCCGCCCAACACTGACCCTCACTCCCTTTCATGACAGTCCTCATGCATGCCTTTGCCAGGGCGGCATCTGAGTGAGGATCATCACACTTGGGCTTTGCCGGCCTCGTGTGCATCTGCTTGTGGGTCCTGACTCAGTGATCCGGGAGCGGGACGTGGGGTGGGGCAAGGTACCTGCAGATTCACCGTCACAGGCTGAGACCGGACAGGGTCCTCGTCCACCTCGAACAGATGGTGGAGCCGCAGCAGGACTCGGAGGAGCTCTGCCTTGGCGTCTCCTTGATTGTCTTGGGGACAGAGGAAGGTGGCAGTAAGGACCCCTGACTGTGCCTGGTACTTTACACCTCCTGTTCACATCTTCAACCTAAGAAGCAGCTAACATGGTGCTCGCTTGACACCAAAGAAACCAGAGCTCAGAGAGGGGTGGGCACTTGCCCAGGGCCACACAGCTGGTATGGAAGGAAGAAGGAGGGAGAATTCCAACTCAGACTCAGGCAATGTTAAGGCTTCCCACCACCCACACAGGGACAGATGCCAATGTCTGGAAAGTCTTCGTTCTCATTCACTTTATGATCATCATTGGCCCTGTCCTACAACCTTCCAGTTCTCTGGAACATATTCTCTGCCTTGGCCCCTGTGAAGGATCTCCTTCACAACCCCAAGGCTGACCCAACCATGAGCAAAGCTTTTTCCTGCCTCTGAGATGAGGAAGCATGTAGTGTAATCCTGCATCCATCTGCTGGGTCCCTGGTGACCACATGAGAAGGACTTCCCTGCTGACCGCCCTCCCCGTACCCCCGGATATATGTCATAAGAGCAAAATAACCTTGTGTTGTGTTTAGACCATGAGAATTTGGGTTCCTTGTTACTGCAGCATAGGAGGCTTGCAAAACCTCTTCTCTGCCTTCCTAGTTGAGGTGCTTACAGGTTGCAGCTCTAGAAACAGACAAGGTCTTCTGGCTCCCTAAAAGGTCAATGCGATGATCGTGATGGTGGTGGTGATTATGGTGTTGATGGTGATGATGACGAAGATATGGTTGAGATGAAGATGGTGATTGATATTTGGGATTCTAATGGTCTAGGGAGGCAGGGGACCCTCACACCATCCACTGATGCTCCCAAGAGTTGGCCCCAACTCATTTCTCTTTAGGAGAAAGGATTTGCTTGGTCCAGCCCCTTTTCCTCCTCTTAGGTACAAGCTGCCTCCATAAGGCATGCTCTCAGTGGGCTTGGCAACACACACAGGTCTATAGGGCAGACTCCACCATGCCAGGGGTTCCCCCACTTCTCTTCTGTGACATGGAGCAACCCCCTAGAGGTCAGTGTTAGGTCACCTGTCTGCAGGATAGAACCATGGCCTCCAATGCCCACTTTATTAGCCACAAAGATGGTATTTGACCTCTGCCTCTTCCTTTCCCTCCTGCTTCTCATCCTGCAGACCTTACACTGGAGCGTGCCAGGCCTTGGAGGGTCTTTGGAAACGGGGGGCGGGGGGGCGGTGGCTGAGGCATGGTCAGCCCCACTTTCGAGATGCTCAGAGTGTAAATGGTAGCTCAGTCGCTCAGTTGTGTCCGACTCTTTGCGACCCCATGGACTGCAGCACGACAGGCCTCCCTGTCCATCACCAACTCCCGGAGTCCACCCAAACCCATGTCCATTGAGTCAGTGATGCCATCCAACCATCTCATCCTCTGTCTTCCCCTTCTCCTCCCGCCTTCAATCTTTTCCAGCATCAGGGTCTTTTCAAATGAGCCGGTTCTTTTCCTCAGGTGGCCAAAGTATTAAGAGTTTCAACTTCGGCATCAGTCCTTGCAATGAATATTCAGGACTGATTTCCTTTAGGGTGGACTGGTTGGATCTCCTTGCAGTCCAAGGGACTCTCAAGAGTTTTCTCCAACACCACAGTTCAAAAGCATCAATTCTTGGGTGCTCAGCTTTCTTTACAGCCCAACTCTCCCATCCATACATGACTGCTGGAAAAACCATAGCTTTGACTAGACAGACCTTTATTGGCAAGAGTGTGAAGGGGCAGATAAGCAGCACCGGGGGCTTTGACAATATGATGAGCTGCTTCCTGGCAGTTGTTTCCTCTACCAGGAGGTCCTCCTGGATGCCCTGCTGGGGGCTCCCCTCTGTACATGGTCATTGCAGTCTAGATGGCATCCAGGCCCACCTGTCTCTGGCTTGCTGAGTGACCTGCCTCTCAGTGGGCCTCCATCTCCTCATCTGGCAGATAGAGAAACCGGGTGACCTCACAAAGTCTGGATGACTCTGGAGAGAACGCCTTTGTCTGGTAAGGGGCTCGGGGACCTGGTTGACACATGATGACGGAGTGAATCTGGACGCCTGAACACCTGCCTCACCTTTCTGAAGATTCTGCACGTGCTTCATGTGGTTTGAGTTGTACATACAGCCTGGGATGCTGAGGATCTGCAGGTGGACGCTTGGGGGCAGCGCCACAGCCTCTTGCTGCTGGGGGCAAGGGTGAATCCTAGCTGTCTCTGCAAGGCAGATGGATGGAAGGAGAGGGTTTGGGCCAAACGTTTCCTCCTGGCATTCAGAGCTCTCCACACCAAGTCACCCATTTCATTCAGTCTCACACCTCTCCCACCTGTGGCCCACACCACAGGCAGCCTGAAGCATCTGTTGTTGAAAATGCCTCAAACCACCTTGAATCTCCAGTGCGGCCATTTAAAATTACAAATGAAGAGACAAGGCCCAGAGAGGGAACTTCATTTCTTCGAGATCACACAGGAAGTTAGCTTAGATCTCTCTTTGCTGTTCAAGGTCTGGGATGTCAGCTCCCCTTGTCTGTCATCTATTGCTATCTCCGCTCAGGGGGACCTCAGCTCTCCTCTTTCTAGGAAACTCTCTGTTCAACTCTGGGCTCTGGCTGGAGTTGCTGGCGCCTCACAACACCTCAGGCCACAGTGATTGGTCAGGCTTGGATCATGTGGTTTGATCAGGACCAATCAGAATCTTTCCCTAGGATCTCTGCTTTTGAGACCTGAGTCTCAGTTCCTTTTGGGTAGGGGAGACCCACAACCGTAGAGCTGTTCCCAGCCAGGTCCCAGACTGGAGGAGAAAGAAGGTCTGTCTGCAGACAGAGGGAAGCTCAAGAGATGGAAGGAAGAAGAGGAGTGGTCTCATGAAGGGTGCAGCACCCAAGGCACAATTACACCCCAGCCCCTCTGTGGAGTGCATTGGCCTCTTAATAAAGTGTCCTTGTGGCTCAGACGGATCAACTTCAGTCTCTCTCATGTGCCACCAGAGGAGAGTGGGACCCATGGATGGAGCTGACCACAGCCATGGAACTTGCTCACGATGGCAACATCGGCTTTGCAGGAACGGCTCCCAGCTGCTAGGAAGGAACCACTGACTGACCTAGGGGCAGACCCCACTCTGCTGGCCCATCACCTCCCCTCTCCTGGGAAGCTGTACCTGGACCTGGAGGTGGCCAGGCCGGCAGCTCTTGGCAGTCCTGGGAGAGATGGACATGAATACCTGCTCCCGAGAGGCCCTGAGCTGCCGCACCTCCCTCCTGCCCTGCCCTCTTCTCCAGCTCCTCTTTTCATCCCAGGAGCTTCTCTGGGCCTGGCTGCCTCTTTACGTCCACAAGAGAGCATCAGCTGATTTCCCTTGAAGTTGATTGCTGAACTCCACTTGGTGTCAGGTCACACTCCACCAGACCTACAGGGCACCAGGCCCTCTCTTCGGCAGTGCTGTCTCTCCATCCTAAACCTGTATCTGCATGACTTGGCTCCCAGGACAGCCCCTGAGGAGTCCTTCAAGGGAGGGTCTGGCTCTAACGCAGGTACAACCTGTAGCAACAGGCAGTCAGTAAACGACTCAAATGAGCCAGCTACAGTCCACCTGCCTGCTAATGCCCTGGGAAGGTTTGGCCTAAAACTCAAAGTGAAAAGTGAAGGTGTTCATCATTCAGTCGTGTTTGACTTTCTGAGACCTCGTGGACTGTAGTCCACCAGGCTCCTCCGTCCATGGGATTCTCCAGGAAAGAATACTGGAGTGGGCTGCCATTCCCTTCTCCAGGGGATCCTCCTGACCCAGGGATCAAACCCAGGTCTCCCACATTGCAGGCAGATTCTTTATCATCTGAGCCACTAGGGAACACATAAAACTCAAAGGAGAATCTTAAAAGCACATCCTAATCAAACCTTCTTCAACTGAATAGAAACTCAAAACAGTTGAACAATTACAGGAAAAACTTTGAAAATTGTGGGTTTGGCTTCAACCACTGCAATAAAGTAAATATTGCAATAAAGCCAGTCACAAATTTCTTGATTTTCCAGATGGTATAAAATTTACATTTATACTGTATTATAGTCTATTAAGTGTGCAATACCATTATGTCTAAAAAATGTATAAAACTTATTTTTAAAATTTGACTGTGTGGATCACAAAAAATCTGGAATATTCTTCAAGAGATGGGAATACCAGACCACCTGACCTACCTTCTACCTTATATAGAAATCTATATGAAAGTCAAGAAGCAACAGTTAGAACTGGACATGGAATAACAGACTGGTTCCAAATCGGGAAAGGAGTACATCAAGGCTGTATATTGTCACTCTGCTTGTTTAACTGATTTGCAGAGTACATCATGAGAAATGCTGGACTGGATGAAACGCAAGCTGGAATCAAGATTGCCAGGAGAAATATCAACAACCTCAGATATGCAGATGACACAACACATGGCAGAAAACAAAGAAGAACTAAAGAGCCTCTTGATGAAAGTGAAAGAGGAGAGTGAAAAAACTGGCTTAAAACTCAACATTCAGAAAACTAAGCTCATGGCATCTGGTCCCATCACTTCATGGCAAATAGATGGGGAAACAGGGGAAACGGTGAGACTTTATCTTCTTGGGCTCTAAAATCACTCCAGATGGTGACTGCAGCCATGAAATTAAAAGACGCATACTCCTCAGAAGAAAAGTTATGACCAACCTAGACAGCATATTAAAAAGCAGAGACATTACTTTGCCAACAAAGGTCCATCTAATCAAAGCTATCGTTTTTCCAGTGGTCATTTATGGATGTGAGAGTTGGACTTTAGAGAAAACTGAGCACCGAAGAATTGATGGTTTTGAACTGTGGTTTTGGAGGACTCTTGAGAGTCCTTTGGACTGCAAGGAGTTCCAACCAGTCCACCCTAAAGGAAATCAGTCCTGAATATTCATTGGATGGACTGATGCTGAAGCTGAAGCTCCAATACTATGACCACCTGATGCAAAGAACCAACTCATTGGAAAAGACCCTGATGCTGGGAAAGATTGAAGGCAGGAGGAGAAGGGGACAACAGAGAATGAGATGGTTGGATGGCATCACCGACTTTATGGACATGCATTTGAGTAAACTCCGGGAGTTGGTGATGGACAGGGAGGCCTGGCATGCTGCAGTCCATGGGGTCACAAGGAGTCAGACACGACTGAGTGACTAAACTGAACTGACTAAAAAAGATAATATCTCCTCCGAGTGTTCTTTGGGTTGTAATCTTTTCACAATAACAGTATCAAAGGTTATTAATTCCAGGTCCCCATAATAAATATAATAATAATGAAAAAGTTTGAGACATTGTAAGAATTAGAAAAATGTGACACATGGATGTGAACTGAGCAAATACTACTGGAAGAACAGTGCAGATGGACTTGCTCCATGCACAGTAGTCACAAATCTTCAATTTGTTAAAAAAAGCAATATCTTCAAAGCTCAGTAAAGGGAAGCATATAAATTGAGGTATGCCTGTAGTGAGAATGATCAACCCATATATTGTATTTAGGTCTTTAATTTTTTAAGACTTCTCCATAGCAGCATCTTTAAATGGAGTAATTGTTTAATGCATTTCATGTTCACCTATTTCAATAAAGATATCAAACTGTAGGGATGCTTATCTACAGAAGTCTCAGTGGAGACAACTCCTATACCTTGCAAATCAGAACACGGAATTAGAATCACCCTCACCTGTTGACAGAATATCTGGATTTAGATAAAACTCTTCTTTTAAATAAAGAAGTCTTGGAATAACTTGGTAACACAGGTCATATTAAGAAAGAGAAAGGTACATCAGGGGAGAAAATGGAGGCGAATCAGGGAAAAGATGTACAGAGCAATACAGGTGAGTCCAAAATCTACGCTTACTAGCTGTATGATCTTAAATCGTTGAACCTCTTTGAACCTCAGTTTGTCCATATTTAAAATAAAAGACTTGAATCTGAGGTTCCTGAGGTCCCTTCCTGCCCCAAAGTAGCTCAGATTCATGGGGGCACCAGCTCATTTCCATCCCTGGCCAGGTCGGCTCACCCCAGGGCAGTGAGGACAGATGCGCCAAAAGGAGGCCCTCTTACCGCCCAGGTCTGGAATCAGCACGACGGGCCTGTGCTGCAGCGCCACCCCGCTCCTCGGGCCAAGGTCCCTGGTGAGGGTCCGGGTTCCCAGCAGGAGCCAGAGCATCGAGTGGACAACCGAGGTGTCGTTCAGCATGAGGTCGTCCGATGAGTTCCCTTGTTTGTTGTTCCACAGCCGCCGATGGAGCATGACCTGCAGGGAAGCGTCATCTGACAGGCCCCGCCTGGCCCCTGGTGGGGCCGTGGTGACCAGAGGGGCCTCCTCCTACCTCCATCTGCCCGCTCCCTTGGCTGGAGACGCCGTGCGCCTGCTCCGACAGCAGCACCAGCCTGCTCTGCCTGTCCTGGATGAAGGCCGACTGAGTCATGGGGTAGTAATTCTGTGGACAGAAATATTGCCAGACGGGTGGTCATGGTCACGGGCGGGTGGGTCACCTGATCAGGCGTCTCCCTCGGGCCCCCACCAGCCTCCCCACAGGCACAGCGGCAGCTCAGGGCGGCCCTGGTAGCGGCGGGGAGGGGCTCTGACTTGTGAACTTGTGAGATGGACGCCCTGGGATTCAAATCCAGCTCCACTGCTTCTTGACCTTACGAGCTGGGGGACTCAGGCTGCCCAAGCCTCAGTTTCAATTCAGTTCAGTCCAGTTCAGTCGCTCAGTCGTGTCCAACTCTTTGCGACCCCATGAACCACAGCACGCCAGGCCTCCCTGTCTATCACCTCAGTTTACCCACCTGTAAAAGGGGCTCCCAAACCATCCCTGAGAAAGTGTGGCAGGGACTCAATGAAGACATGTGTGTCAGTCCAGTCTGAGATAGGAATGGTTGCCCGATAGTAAAGGGCTCAAGCTTGGGCTGGAAAGTGGTCACACAGTCCACACCCTTTGCTCTGGTGGAGCAAGATGTGCTGGGCTGAGGGCCTTGGACTCTCTGGAGCCCAGGCCACAGTGGGTGAGAACCAGCCAACAGGGATGAGAGGGACCAGAAACTCAAGGAAGGCAGGGCAGGAAGGTGCCACATTCCCCACTGGAAGGAGAAAGAACTAACGTGGATTGAGGCTCACGAGGTGCCCCGCCTGGCACTGCTCCTGGATCATCCCAGCTGATCACACAGCGCTGGGGGGAGGATACCCCCTTTCCCAGGAGAGCACTGAGGCCCAGGGAGGCCGAGGGACTTGTCCCAGGTCATGCTGCTGGGGGCAGAGCATCTCAGAGCTGAACTGATTGCAGAAATCAGCCTGTGCTCACGTTTCCCAGGCAACCAGACAGTAGCCCGCCTAAGAGCAGCAAAGGAGGGCCACAGCCGCTCAGGCCTGGACAGGCACCATCTGCTTCATCCTCAGAGCAATCCCAGCGGGTCAGTCATCTGACAGAGGAGGACACGCCGTGCCCACAGTGGACCTCAGGGACTTTCCTCATACGTGGGGGCCCCAGAGCTCTGAGCCCAGGTCTGAACAAGCCTGGGTCTCAGCCCCTAACGCCACACGTGGGCGACAGAGGTTCTGGGAGATGCTCTGGAGGCCTCTGCCGCTGGAGCTAAAGGGGTGTCTCCGGCCTCTGGAGAGAGGCTGCCTCTCAGGTCTGTGGTCACTGTTCCGGTGAGGCACCACGGGACGTACCCGAGCGATGGCGTTCGCCTCGTAGTGTTTGTAGGCTCTGCGCTGCAGCTGGTAGCCATTGTTGTCAGAGTAGAGGACCCGGCCGGTGTTGAGATCGGTGCTGGTCCTCAAGATGGCCTCGCGGTTCAGCTCCAAGGGCCCCACCCTGTACTCCTGCTCTATGCGATGACACAGCAGCTCCCCGTCAGCGCCCGGGGGCCCGCGGGCCAGCCGGGAGTAGATGGTGTACGTGGGGTCACGGTCGGCCACCGTTCTGGAGGAGGAGCGGAAGAGATACGTCGAGCTGGGGGAGACTTCCGGATGCCAGTCCCTCCCGCTTTCTTTCCTCTCTTCCTGTCTCCCTCGCTGCCTCTTTCCCGGCAGGCAGGGCAGGCAGCGGGGCTTCTTGGGCAAAAAACAGGAAGAGTCCCCCTTCCCTGAAGGCACGGAGCATCTGGCCAGGCCTGGGTGGCTTGTTTCTCTTCTGTTAATGAAAACACAAGAACTGCTCTGGTGTGTAACGTCACTGTCACCACGGGCTACTGTCCCACCTCTGGACTTAGATGCCAGCAAGGTGACACAGCGCAGGCAAGCCCAGCCAGGACTGCAGAGGCTGGACCATCTCACATCTGCACCAAACTTTCATTGAGGAAGGACCATGGATGAGCACAGGTCCCGCAGCTGGGTGTATGGAGCAGAGACATTTCTGCATTCACCTGCCCACGGGAACCCACCTGCGCTGGGTACAACCAGAGGGGCCGGCCTCACCGTAGAAGTATTGCCTGATCTCAGTCACGAGCTCCCCCTGGACGATCTCCATTCCCACAGTCTCCCACGCTGGCTTCGTGGTTTCATTGGATGTAAACACATAGTTATCAGAAATGGGTCCCTGATCCTCATCACCGTTCACTTCGTACTCCATGAACTGCTGGGTCACTTGTATGGTTTGGTTATTCTGCCTGCAGTGGTGGGAAAGAGAAAAGAGCGTTATTCTCTTGTTAATGTCCCATCCCTCTGATGGGAGCCAGGCTCACAAGCCTCTATACAGACACCAACCTGGAACCAGGAGTGACAGAAGTGACCTCTGTAGAAGCTGGGTGGCATATCTGTCAATGGAATATTACTGAACCTCAAGAGGAATGAGGTTCTCATCCATGCTGCCCTGTGGGTGAATCTTGGAAACGTGATGCTATATGAAAGAAACCAGTCTCCAAAGGATCTCAGGTGGTGTGATGCCATTGCAGGAAATGCCCACAGAGGCAAATCTGGAGAGACAGAAAAGAGATTCCAGTAGCCAGGGCCCTGGGGGAGGTGAAAATGGGGATTATGGGGATTCTTTTTGGAGGTGATGGAAATATCTGAAAACTGGAGTTTCCTGCACACCTCTGTGAATACAGGAAACAGCACAGATGTGTACGGTGTAATGTGGTGACTTGTGTGGTATGTGAAATATATCAACACGCTTGTCATATATGAAAGAACAAAGGCCCTGCTCCAGCAAACTGGGCTGGGGTGGTCTGTGCACATAGTGGCTGCCCCCCTCAGGCCTTCGCACAGGCAGATCCTTCTAAGGAACCACTGTCTGCTTGTCTGACCCACGGATTCCCTCCAGACTTCAAGGCCTCAGGCCTGGCTCTGGCGGTCTCGTCCATGCCAAGCCTCCTCTCAGCCGCCCTCTCTCTAGTCCAACTGGCTGCCCTCTCTGGCTGTGTGGCAGGTGCTGGCTGTACCCTTCTTGGGGGGTGAGGGAGCCCAGTAAGAAGCACACCTTCCCTCACCTGAGCCCAAAGCACCTGAAGACACACAGGGGTGAGGCAGACGGACAGCAGGACGCTCCAGGGAACGGCTGCGCGGGGATGTGGCTTGGGTGTGGGGCACCCGTGGGCAGGCAGAAAGGGATGGGGAGCTGGAGCCGGCCCTTCAGGGGCGTTCCAGAAGGGGCGTGGGGCCCGAGTGATGACGGAGCCCAAAGCCGGCCTGCAGGCTTCCCCTTTCCCTGCCTGACCAGGGAAAGAGGCTCACACGTGCTGGGGTTGTACCCCGTTTCTGCTGCCCCCCCCAACACCCTCTGCTGACCTCCCATGCTGGATCCTGTGGGTCCTGATTGCTTTTGTGGCCCAGCCTAGACTCACACAACCTAGAAGTGAAGCTGGCTACACAGCAAGAGTCTTCACGACCATTGCATCCTTGCCATGCCAGTGAGGAGCTGAAGAGGCAGGTGGGGCATTACCTGCCCAGCTCCCAGGACCCTCCTGGCCTCAGAGGCAGCAATGGCTGCACCTCACCTCTCCCAGATGCTGTCCATCAGGCTGCTGTCCTTGTCCAGGTACACGGTGTAGCAGTCGTTCTCCACGTGCACCAGGCGCCTGACCACGCTTGAGTCATGTCTCCCGGGCCTGTGGCCAAACTGCTTGGTGTTGGCCATCGTGGCCTCAGTCTCCTGATTGTCCTCCTTGGCCGTCCTGCTGGGCTTGATGACGTAATACCGGTAACTGAGTCCTGGGATCGTGGTCAGCACAAGCAGGTCATAGACAGATAGCATCTCCTTTGAGTTCTGGACCTGCAAGGCCAGAGGGACAGGATCACGTGACGGATGTCACAGGGGGGAAGACATCTCAGTCTCCTTAGCAACCCTGGGCTTAGACTCCTCCTGGATGGCGTGCTTGCTCCCCATGGGGGCAGCAGGGTCATCCATCATTAGGCTGAGCTGGGCTCCCCTCCTGCATCCTTTCTGCTCAACAGGGTCCTAGCCCAGCCCCTTTCCCCTCCTCCTTCCCTTCTCCTTTGGGGCTGAAAAAGCAACGTCCCTTCTTCCCAACTCTCCCTGCTGTTTCCTGCCTCTGAGCCTTTGCTCACGCTGTTCCCTCGACCCGGAGGGCCTCCTCTTTGGAGGGAGCTGTCTTGTCTCTTTATCCTCCAATTTCCCAGAGGAGGGAGGTTTTCAGGTCATCCCTCCAGGATTTTCCCTATCTCCAAATTATCTGATTTAGGGATGGGATGAGGACTCTGGGTCCATGCAGGGAGGCCCCTGACTCTTTGGGGAACAGGTGCCATCTCTGGGCTTCTGTTGGGGGTTTTGTGGTAGGGCGGGGGGCTATTAGCAAATTTATGTGGCTCCATATAAGATGGACTGGGACCAGGCCCCCTTGCTTCAGTGCTGCAATGCTTGGACACACCTCTCCTTGAGCAACAAAATGCAAAGAAATTGTATAGGACTAAAAAGAACCACATGTATGCGCAGTTGGGGGCAAATTCTGGACAAAAGATTAAAAAAAAAACACCTAAAAAATTTAACTGCCACTTTTTAAAAAAGAGTCTGGAGCAAAAGCAGGGGTCAGAGCAAAAGCATGGACCCTGCACACACCACCACCTAAGGAGTGGGCAAACACCTCAGCCACCTCTCCAACCCAACTAGTGGGCCCACCCCTGCCCTCACCCCATATAAAGAACCAGCTCCCCTCTTGGAGAATAAGCAAGCAAGGGAACCTGCTGTTTGTTTTCACCCCGCCGCCATGCTGCCACAGGGGCCCCAATAAAGCCTTGCCTGAATTTCTTGGTCTGGCCTCTGATCAACTTCTATTATTTAAAAATGTCAAGTACCCTGGTCAGTGAGGCTTCCCTGGTGGCTCAGATGGTAAAGAATCTGCCTGCAATGTTGGAGACCCGGGTTCAGTTCCTGGGTCAGGAAGATTCCCCTGGAGAAGGAAATGACAACCCACTCCAGTATTCTTGCCTGGAGAACCCCATGGCTAGAGGATCCTGGCAGGCTAAAGTCCATGGACTCGCAAAGAGTCAGACACAACTGAGCAACTAACACATTCACCCTGGTCAGTAATAGACCCTCCAACTCGGCCTTTCTGTGAACAAAAGCAAGCATCTTGTCCCCACCCATACCCCCCAAACCTGTCCTAAAGCTTTTCCTCCACTACAGTCATCATGAGCCACATTCTCTACCTTCTTATTTTGTTCCTGTCTGGATCCCCCTGCTAGAATATGAGCCCCCAGGGGGCACGGACTTTTGTTGGCTTGGTAATTAGGATTTCTCCAGCACCTAGATTAAGGCCTGACACAGAGTAGGTGTTCAGTCATCCTTAAGTGTTTACTCTTAGCGGGTATCGCCTTTGGTTGGGGAGGAGGGTGTTATGTGTTGAGTCTGCTCAAACCAACACCCATCAATGTCAGAGGAACTCTTCCTCTTGGTCTCAGCTAAGGACTACTGCCTGGACTGCTAGGTCCTCACTCCATGCCTTAACTGTCCAGCTCTGTGTCTGTTTCCTGAATCCATGGGGTCTCCAGTGTCCAGAGGCCCAGAGTGGGCATTCAGGAGTGTTTGCTGAAAGGTTGCTGATGGCAGAACCTCTTCCACCTCCCCAAGGAAGAGTCGGCTGAGTGACAAGTAGGGTGCTGTCTGGGACCACATCCAGCTCCAGGTTTTGGGAGGAGATGGGGCGGGACCACCCACTCATACTGGATGAGGGTTTAAGGAATTTGCCCCCAACCCCTAACAAAGCACTTCTATAAAGACCCACTTGTAAGACTCTGCATGGATTTTCCTATACAAAGTGGGAATTTTGATAATACTACGAAAGTGAAAGTGTTAGTTGCTCACTTGTGTCCAACTGTAGCCCACCAGTTTCCTCTGTCCATGGGATTCTCCAGGAAAGAATGCTGGAATGTGTTGCCATTTCCTTCTCCAAGGAATCTTCCTGACCCAGGGATCAAACCCGGGTCTCCAGCACAGAAAGCACATTCTTTACCACATGAGCCACAAGGGACGTCCTTATAATATTATATATAGTCCTATATGGGGGGATGCCACCCATGCAGCCCACACCAGGAGACCTCCCAGCTTGGGGATGGTAGAAGCGATTTCAGGCCAAATCAGATGCCCAAAGCCTAGGATCTGTGCCCTGGGTGGATCCCACCGACCCTGAGGACAATGTCCTCATAGTGACAGTGGGATTGTCATTGCTCACTAAAATGGCCCTCACTTCTCGGGAATTCCTGCCTAGAACAGAGGCAGCAATCACAAGTGCAACAGAGGCAGGATTCCTGCCCATACCTGTGCAGGCACGGGGTGGCCTGACTCATCTGTGACGCTGACCTCGGGGAAGTCCACAGTCAGGGTGACGATGGTGGTGACTGTCCAGGCCACAGGGTTGTAGATCACGGCAAAGAATCCCCCAGGCTCAAGGCCTGCACACACACAAGAGGTCTACTTGTTGCCATGGGACACACTCCGCACACCTGGGTGTCCCTTGGAACAAGGGAAACTGAGGCAGGTGAGACCAACCCTGCAGACTCCAGGGAGAGGGACAGACAGACACAGGGGATCAGACAGGCAGCCCCCTCCACACTCTGTTCATGATGCTGTCCCGGTTCCCAAATGTGGGGTAGGGGGTGTCCCTGCAGAACCTGAGGGTCCATGTACCCCTCACCCATCTCTCCCAGTCAGCCCAATTTCCTAGTGAGTGCAGTGAGCCCCAGAGAGGAAGAATCACATGCAGAAGGCCTGGTGACTGACTTGGGTAGGGACTCAAGAGTCTGAAGCTCAGGTGGTCAGGCCCCCTCCCTGGTCCCAGAAGCTTTCTTCTCAGAAAGAGGCCTAGACTCTGCCAGACTGCAGGGGTTCCCAGCAAGGGCCTTGCTTACCTGTGTGGGCTGGGAACCTGTCGTGGATGATGGCGGACATCAGCTTCTGCACCCCATGCTTCCTGGTGTTCAGGCTTCCCACAAACATGTCACTCACCTTGGGGGTGTGAGTCCTGGTGATGGCTTCATGGTGCTGGACCTGTCTCCCCGCTCCGAGCAGGACAAGAGTGGGGTCAGGACCTGTCCCTGCTCAGCACCTGCTCTTCCGGGACCCACTGGGCACAGGCTCTCTTTCCCTCTTAGCAGGTGCTGGTGGGGAAGGAGGGGGTTCCTCCCACTTTACAGAAGAGGAAACTGAGATCAGAGAGGCTGATGGACTTGCCCAACTTTGAAGACCTTGTGAAAACCTATACCTGACTCCCTGACCTGGGACAGGAAACAGACTTTCAGAGGGACCCTCCCCAGCTTGATCGCTGAGGAAGGCTTTCTCATCTCTCCTTGCTATTCTTCGGAACTCTGCATTCAAATGGGTATATCTTTCCTTTTCTCTTTTGCCTATTGCTTCTCTTCTTTTCACAGCTATTTGTAAGGCCTCCTCAGACAACCGTTTTGCCTTTTCGCATTTCTTCTTCTTGGGGATGGTCTTGATCCCTGCCTCCTGTACAATGTCACGAACCTCCATCCATAGTTCTTCAGGCACTCTGTCTATCATATCTAATCCCTTGAATCTATTTCTCACTTCCACTGTATAATGGTAAGGAATTTGATTTAGGTCATACCTGAATGGTCTAGTGGTTTTCCCTACTTTCTTCAATTTAAGTTTGAATTTGGAAACAAGGAGCTCATAATCTGAGTCACAGTCAGCTCCTGGTCTTGTTTTTGCTGATTGTATAGAGCTTCTCCATCTTTGGCTGCAAAGAATACAGTCAGTCTGATTTCGGTATTGACCATCTGGTGATGTCCATGTGTAGAGTCCTCTTGTGTTGTTGGAAGAGGGTGTTTTCCATGACCAGTGCATTCTCTCAGCAAAACTCTGTTAGCCTTTGCCCTACTTCATTCTGTACTCCAAGGCCAAATTTGCCTGTTACTCCAGGTGTTTCTTGACTTCCTACTTTTGCATTCCAGTCCCCTATAATAAAAAGGACAGCTTTTGGGGGTGTTAGTTCTAGAAGGTCTTGTAGGTCTTCATAGAACTATTCAAGTGTTCAACTTCAGCTTCTTCAGCATTACTGGTTGGGGCATAGACTTGGATTACTGTGATATTGAATGGTTTACCTTGGAAACGAACAGAGATCATTTTGTCATTTTTGAGGTTGCATCCAAATACTGCATTTCAGACTCTTTTGTTGACTATGATGGTTACTCCATTTCTTCTAAAGAATTCTTGCCCACAGTAGTAGATATAATGGTCATCTGAGTTAAATTAACCCATTTCAGTCCATTTTAGTTCGCTGATTCCTAAAATGTTGACATTCACTCTTGCCATCTCCTGTCAAACAGGAGAATTTGCCTTGATTCATGGACCTAATATTCCAGGTTCCTATGCAGTATTGCTCTTTACAGCATAGGACTTTATTTCCATCACCAGTCACATCCACAACTGGGTACTGTTTTTGCTTTGGCTCCATCTCTTCATTCTTTCTGGAGTTATTTCTCCACTGATCTCCAGTAGCATATTGGGCACCTACCGACCTGGGGAGTTTATCTTTCAGTGTCCTATCTTTTTGCCTTTTAATACTGTTCATGGGGTTCTCAAGAAAATTAGAGATACAAAGGGAGCATTTCATGCAAATTTGGGCACAATAAAGGACAGAAATGGTATGGATCTAAAAGAAGCAGAAGATATTAAGAAGAGCTGGCAAGAATACACAGAAGAACTATACAAAAAAGATCTTCATGGCCCAGATGATCACGATGGTGTGATCACTCACCTAGAGCCAGACAGACATCCTGGAATGTGAAGTTAAGTGGGCCTTAGGAAGCATCACTACGAACAAAGCTAGTAGAGGTGATGGAATTCCTTCCAGCTGAGCTCGTTCAAATCCTAAAAGATGATGTTGTGAAAGTGCTGCACTCAATATACCAGCAAATTTGGAAAACTCAGCAGTGGCCACAGGACTGGAAAAGGTCAATTTTCATTCCACTCCCAGAGAAAGGCAATGCCAAAGAATGCTCAAACTACTGCACAATTACACTCATCTCACACCCTAAAGTAATGGTCAAAATTCTCCAAGTCAGGCTTCAACAGTATGTGAACCGTGAACTTCCAGATGTTCAAGCTGGGTTTAGAAAAGGCAGACGAACCAGAGATCAAATTGCAAACATTTGCTGGATCATAGAAAAAAGTGAGAGAGTTCCAGAAAAACATCTATTTCTGCTTTATTGACTATGCCAAAGCCTTTGATTGTGTGGATCACAACAAGCTGTGGAAAATTTTTAAAGAGATGGGAATACCAGACCACCTTACCTGCCTCCCAAGATATCTGTATGCAGGTCAAGAAGCAACAGTTAGAACTGGACATGGAACAACAGACTGGTTCCAAATCGGGAAAGGAGTATGTCAAAGCTGTATATAGCCACTCTGCTTATTTAACTTATATGCAGAGTACATCACGAGAAATGCTGGGCTGGATGAAGCACAAGCTGGAATTAAGATTGCCAGGACAAATATCAATAACCTCAGATATGCAGATGACACCACACTTATGGCAAAAAGCAAAGAAGAACTAAAGAACTAAAGAACCTCTTGATGAAAGTGAAAGAGGAGAGTGAAAAAGTTGGCTTAAAACTCAACATTCAGAAAACTAAGCTCATGGCATCCGATCCCATCACTTCATGGGGAAATAGATGGGGAAACAGTGGAAACAGTGAGAGACTTTATTTTCTTGGGCTCCAAAATCACTGCAGGTGGTGACTACAGCCATGAAATTAAATGACCTTGGAAGAAAAGCTATGTCCAACCTAGACAGTATATTAAAAAGCAGAGACATTACTTTGCCAACAAAGGTCCGTCTAGTCAAAGCTATGGTTTTTCTAGCAGTCATGTATGGATGAGACAGTGGGACTATAAAGAAAGCTGAGCACCAAAGAATTGATGCTTTTGAACTGTGGTGTTGGAGAAGACTCTTGAGAGTCCCTTGGACAGCAAGGAGATCCAACCAGTCCATCCTAAAGGAAATCAGTCCTGAATATTCATTGGAAGGACTGATGCTGAAGGTGAAACTCCAATACTTTGGCCACCTGATGCTAAGAACTGATTCACTAGAAGAGACCATGATTCTGGGAAAGATTGAGGGCAGGAGGAGAAGGGGATGACAGAGGATGAGATGGTTGGTAGGCTCCAGGAGTTGGTGATGAACAGGCAGGCCTGGCATGCTGCAGTCCATGGGATCACAGAGTCAGACTCGACTGAGCAACTGAACTGAACTAAACTCCCCAGCTTCACCTCCGTGGCCCAGTCATCCCATAAGTACTGCTAACTTGCTCCAGACGTGCTCCACACGTGACCTTGACACTCGTCTGCATCCTACAGGAGCAATATTACCTCTTCCTCACAGGAGAGAGTTGAGTCTCCATCTCCATGGGGTGAAGCCACATTTGTCCCCACTCTGATGGATGGGAAAGTCAATCCGTTTTCCCACCCACCCCCACTCCCACATACACAATGACTAGTCCTGCCAACAATTCTCTTTATGAATGTCATGGCCAGTGTGGCACATTTCTGACTGCAGACAAGTTTTTAGCACTTCTTGGTTCTCATCAGTATGGTGGGAGACAAGTGGAGATGAAATTTGCGGACATCTTCTTTTGTGACAGCCACCAAGATCGGCAGTTTATATGTATTGTCATAGTCAACTGCAGGCCACCTGTTTAGGTGGACATGGACTTCTGATTATCCAGGGAGAGAATAAGGCTCAGAGAGGGAAAGTCACTTGCCTGAGGCCACACAGCTCAGCTGAGATGTGAACCTGCAGAGGACGGCTGGGCACCAATACTGCCCCACTCCGCCCTTTACCCTCCGGGTGGGTCTGGTTCTAAAGCTCACTGAAGCCACCAGGGGGACGTCTGGGGACCTAGCCTTAATGCAGCTTCATCATGCACGGGTCCCGGGACCCAGGGTGACCGCAGTGTTCTCATCCGTCAAGTGGACCTGTAGTGACCGGGGACCGGGAGGCTCTGGTGGCCTAGGGAGGGGGGAGCACACACCCAGGAGGGTCCGATCCTGTTCCTGCCATGGAGAGGTGTGGTGTTACCTTGGAGACTGCCCAGCGGAGCTGCTGGAGCCGCTGCAGGGCCCAGGCCGGGTCCAGGGACCGGTGGGGAGCCAACATGAAGCGTGTGAACATGGACTCCCCGGCGTAGAGCAGAGCGCTGGCTCGCCGCGCCAGCCCCTTGAGCCCACTTCGGGAGGCGTAGAACCCGGTCCAGGACTGAAACACACCTAGGAGAATAAGGCCAGTAGTGGCTAGGATGTCCTGGAGCCCCCTAAAAGCCTCAATCCTGGAAGATAGAGCAAGATGGTGTCAGTGATGGGTAGACTCTTACCAGGTTACCTGGGGAGGCAACCTGAGTGGGGGATGATATCAGGGCTCCTGCTCCAACTAGGCCAGCAACTGCCCAGGAGCCCTTGAGGAACTAAGCAGGTGGCAAGGTCAGGCTGGGCTGCACCAGGCCTGGAGAGGCCTGGGTGCTAAAGGACTGTGATGGGGACAAGGCAGCCCAGTGAGCCTGGGACCCTGGGAAAGCCTGTGAGCAAAGGTCCCAGAGGATTTCAGGGGAGGAGGGAGTGGGACGAGGGCCAGGAGGACAGGGCCCAGAGGGGAAGTGCCTGGAGTGCTGGCAGGCCCTGTGTGTCACTTCTAGGGTGAACAGGATCCTGGACAGGCCTGCATTCCAGTGGGGTCCCTCTGGCTGCCTGCCGGGAGGGGTGGGAGGGATGAGAGAGCCCGGAAACCACTGTCCTGACCCTGGACTGAGAGGACAGTGGGGGGTGGGTGGGAGGATGGAGGCCAAGCACCTTGGGGACAGGCTGTGTCTCAGCAGGTGGCTCACTGTTCCCTACTATTTCTGCTTCCTGCCTTCTCCCCAGGCTGGGCTGTGCTCCCATTCCCTGTTCTTCCCTCAAAGGACCTGGCTCAGACCAGGAGG